CATCATCATCCAATAAAACATCAGAAATTAGGTCAAATCTTAAGCTTTCTCTATCATACAATAAAACATCAGAAATTAGGTCAATCTTATACTTTCTCTATCATACAATAAAACATCAGAAATTAGGTCAAATCTTATACTTTCTCTATCATACAATAAAACATCAGAAATTAGGCCAAATCTTACGCTTTCTCTATCATACAATGAAACGTCAGAAATTAGGTCAAATCTTAAGCTTTCTCTATCATACAATAAAACATCCGAAATTAGGTCAAATTTTATACTTTCTCTATCATACAATAAAACATCAGAAATTAGGTCAAATCTTAAGCTGTCTCTATCATATATACTAGCGGAAAAAGAAACGCAAGTTCAGTTTTGGTAATATAACTTTTTTATCTGCAGACCAAATGCTGTGAAATGTGACACATGAACACTTCAGTGTACTGTCTAAATAATCGTCAGTTTAAATTTGGTCAACCGTGACCAGGGGCGACGCTGCATGATTTTCCAACAAAGCGTGCGTCCGTAGCACTACCACGTGCTATCAACTTGAAAACCATACCAAATCCAAGTTTTGAACAGCACACATCCAGTGCTCAACATTTCATTCCAAGGCGATTAAAAAGCAGCATGTCGTGAATGTCAGAAGTTGATAGGGGTAAGGCTATTGCCCAAATTCTACAGGGCCAATCACAACGTCTTGTCGCCCAGCAATATGGAGTCCATGAGTCAATGATAGCTTGATTAGTTGGGCACCTCAGGGCCACAGGAAGATTAGCTGACCGTCCCAGGAGCGGACGTCCATATGTTATGACGCCACATCAAGATCAGGGTATACATCTCTCACACCTACGTAACCAATTTCAGACAGCAATGGAGATGGCAAGTCATATTGTAGGCACTCATGGTTGCCGTGTGTGTCCAAGAACAGTTAGGAATCGGTTGCTGGAGTTCAATTTAAGGCCATGACGTCCCTACATTGGTCCGCAACTTACACCCAGGCGATGTCAACGTCGAATGCAATGGCTGCGTGCACATGCACCAAATAGGTTTCGCTTGGCCCGCTGGAGACATGTGTTATTCACGGACAAGTCTCAGTTCGAGTTGTACAGATCAGATGGACGAAAATGTTGCTATTGACGTCGTGGTGAGCGATATTTTGACGCATGCGTTAAAAAAAACAACAGATTCCGGGGAGGGTCTGTTATGGTTTCGGCAGGGATTTCTCATGGCGTGAAGACACCTCTCATGATCATCCAAGGCAATCTTACAATCCTCATGTCCTTCCATTAATCGAAGCGCAAAACCTTACGTTACAGCAGGATAATGCGAGGCCGCACATTGCTAGGGTGTGTCGTAACTTCCTCAACCAAAACAATGTCCCAGTACTCGACTGGCCACCCTACAGTCCAGATCTGTCCCCAATCAAACATTTGTGGGACGAGCTGGACAGGAGGCTCAGGAAGCGTGTCAACGTCCCAATCAACGTCACTCAGCTCACGCAGGCCCTTCTTCAGGAGTGGAATAACATACCACAAAGGACCATAAACAATTTGATGGGGTCAATGGTAAAGAGAGTTAGAGCAGCGACTGCAGCTCGAGGTGGGCACATCCGCTATTGCTTTTAATCAGGAAATGGCGTAGGGTATCCACGTTTATATGCTATCCATGCCAACGCCGTCTGTATTAAGACAACAGAACTTATCAAATTTTAATCAGTAATGAGGAATTAAAATAAACATCTTAACAATGATATAATCATCCATGAAAACATTTGAAATATTTACCACCGGACAAAAACTTGTGTTTCTTTTTTCCGTTGGTATAATAAAACATCAGAGGTCAAATCTTAAACTTTCTCTATCATACAATAAAACATCAGAAATTAGGTCAAATCTTATGCTTTCTCTATCATGGTTCACAGTCCTTGGCACAAAACACTTCCTTACTTAGGAATACTTATGAAAATTCTTTTACCTAAAGATTTTGGATTAAAACAAATTAAATTTCTGTTAATGATTTTGGAAAGTAAAATGGTAACAACTTTTTCTCTGTTATGTGTCGAAGTATAGCCAAAATCTTTAAATCAAACCTAAGGTTAGCTCCTCAGAGAGGAACTAAACATCAAAAGTCAGTATCTACAACATGTACACCCTTAATTATAGAGATAAGGAAAAGTGTATCAAAAGTTTACAATCCAAAAATAGAGCTGAAAATTTCAAATATCTGGATCATATGTGAGTTTGAGTACAACACATCTCGGTAAGTTAAAATAAACAAGCCTCCTACCTACCTGGTGAGCTGGTGGCGGCCATGCAGCCCATTATATAAACAAATGCTGTAATCACCAGCAAGATGTTAGAAGTGATAAACAGGCTGGGACATTCAAGCTACTGTCATTGGAAACTATCCTAGTCGATTTCCTCTTTTCTGATCAGTATCAATCACAACAACATCACTCAACAACCTTCTGTATACAACTTTTTTTTTCAATTAATATGTGTTTATTCAACAAAGTTGATTATAGACATTAAGTCCAGCACCTGGCTTATACAGTACAAAGCTTTGAGGTGTAACATACTCTAAGGGAATGTCTGATGCGCTGATGCCACTCGAAGTAGTTACTAATTAACTAAAGGCAAAAGATATCTAGTTTGGCATTCCATGTCACATGTACACCAAGATAAAAATTAAAATTTTATTTATCACAACAATTGCAAAATACTTGACTCATATCAAATTATATCAATCACTTGCTTGCCAAGAGTGCTGAGAAGGTAAGAAAAAGAGAGGAAACCAGACACCTGGGGAAACCCATATCAGGTAACTGTGTGAAGTTTTACATCTCAAGGAATCAAATCTCAGCTATGTTTGTGAAAGATGCATTTCAGCTGTGCTACCTCATCACCCATACCAATGTTAAGAAAATCCTAACATGTACTTGAGAAGCATTTCGAACAAAACGATCAGCTCCAATATGTTCAAGATTTTCCCAAGAGCACCCAATCACAACTCCTCAAAAATCTTGAGAAACAGTAGAATACTCTAAACACTGTTAATGTTTTATTAAGGTTAATCGGGTCAACATACAGTGTATAGATAATAAAGACATACGTTTGGTACATGACATCATTTTCATTTCAACACATGAATATTGAAGATCATATTATGAAATAAAGTAGTGAATTATGCATCAGATCGATTTAAAAGTCTTTCCTTAAATTTGTCATCAATAAGTCACAGTGACCTACTTCTAGCTAGCTGATGCAACAAAACACTGTCAACCAATGAAAATCTGAAAATTAGTAAAACACATATTCTCCAGAACAGTTTAAACGGTCAGAGACTTAAAAAAAAAAGAAACACCAACTTCTTGATATATATATATAGATACAAATAACAGAGATTCAATAGCATGACATATTTTTCCAGAACCTATTCCAATACGTAACATATTTTTCCAGAACCTATTCCGATATGTAACATATTTTTCCAGAACCTATTCCAATACGTAACATATTTTTCCAGAACCTATTCCGATATGTAACATATTTTTCCAGAACCTATTCCAATACGTAACATATTTTTCCAGAACCTATTCCGATATGTAACATATTTTTCCAGAACCTATTCCAATACGTAACATATTTTTCCAGAACCTATTCCAATACATAACATATTTTTCCAGAACCTATTCCGATACGTAACATATTTTTCCAGAACCTATTCCGATACGTAACATATTTTTCCAGAACCTATTCCGATACGTAACATATTTTTCCAAAACCTATTCTGATACATAACATAACATATTTTTCCAGAACCTATTCCGATACGTAACATATTTTTCCAGAACCTATTCCGATATTTTGAAGATCAAATGTGTAAAACTCTCTGTGACACTTTCCTAAAATGTAAAAAAGAATAAAAGTATGACATAACTGCTGAAATAACATTTTTTCCCCAAGTTTATAATGCAAGGTTGTAATAAATAAGTTCTGTTGCATTACATTTCTCCAAATCTTCCAAAGATTTATTCTGTAATTTCAGCTCGAAATTTGATTTTGAAATCAAATCAAGGATGAACAGATGTACTACTCTTTATAGATTAGGGGAAACATCTTCACTAGAACACTTTGAGACAAGAAATGATAGAGACATGAAGCTTAACATTAACCTATAACTGATCAAAGAAAACTAAGTGCAACGTTAACTGAAGTCAATGAAGAGAAAGTCACCTACAGTCAAACATCTACAAACAAACTGCCATGATTCAATGTATTCAATTTTTTGCTAAGTCGCAAATTTTATTCTTATACAGCACTACTAGCTAGTAGATCAAATCTTTCGATGTTGTATCAAAGTTTTTTTCATAAACAGCAAGCTATGACCGTTCATGTTAAAACCACTTAACTGCAGTGGTTTCATTTTGTGTTTATCCTTGAAATAATGTACCTTTCAGAGTAATAAGTAAACCTAAGCATGCATGGTCCACTTCTTTTTAATTTCTGTCAAAAGTCATCATTTTGTTTCATTAATAAAAACAAAATGTTTTTGAGGTATATATGTCATCAATCAATTCTGGTAATGAAAGTCCACATCAGCTACCACAAAATCTCCATGTCTCAAAGTGTCTTCCTAGTCTTTAGATCACAAATATAGTAACATGGCATCACTGAATACCCAAACAATAAATGATCGAATAAACTTTCTTTACTTTACAACAATTGCGAAACAAGATTTAAACTTATATCAATCACTCTTGTTGTTCCTGTTGGAAGTGGGCAGAAGTCTTAATGTGGGAGGAAACCAGAGTACCCAAGTGATCGGGCAAGTGACCCCTTACCTTGTCATATTCATTCAGGGAATCGAACCCCAGACAGCTAGGTGAGAGGCAAACGCGTTACCAATGTGCCACCCGACAACCCAATAGATGATTGATTGAAGAAAAAGCGATACTTGATGGCTGGACAAGACAAAAGAAAAGGCAACACTTGATGCCTGACAAACAGACAGATAGACAAAAGAAAAGGCAACACTTGATACCTGGACAACAGACAGATAGACAAAAGAAATGGCAACACTTGATGCCTGACAAACAGACAGATAGACAAAAGAAATGGCAACACTTGATGCCTGACAAACAGACAGATAGACAAAAGAAATGGCAATACTTGATGCCTGACAAACAGACAGATAGACAAAAGAAATGGCAACACTTGATGCCTGACAAACAGACAGATAGACAAAAGAAATGGCAACACTTGATGCCTATTAAACAGACAGATAGACAAAAGAAATGGCAACACTTGATGCCTGACAAACAGACAGATAGACAAAAGAAAAGGCAACACTTGATACCTGGACAACAGACAGATAGACAAAAGAAATGGCAACACTTGATGCCTGACAAACAGACAGATAGACAAAAGAAATGGCAACACTTGATGCCTGACAAACAGACAGATAGACAAAAGAAATGGCAACACTTGATGCCTGACAAACAGACAGATAGACAAAAGAAATGGCAACACTTGATGCCTGACAAACAGACAGATAGACAAAAGAAATGGCAACACTTGATGCCTGACAAACAGACAGATAGACAAAAGAAATGGCAACACTTGATGCCTGACAAACAGACAGATAGACAAAAGAAATGGCAACACTTGATGCCTGACAAACAGACAGATAGACAAAAGAAATGGCAACACTTGATGCGTGGACAACAGACAGATAGACAAAAGAAATGGCAACACTTGATGCCTGACAAACAGACAGATAGACAAAAGAAATGGCAACACTTGATGCCTGACAAACAGACAGATAGACAAAAGAAATGGCAACACTTGATGCCTGACAAACAGACAGATAGACAAAAGAAAAGGCAACACTAGATGCCTGACAAACAGACAGAAATAGACAAAAGATAGAAAATGGCAACACTTGATGCCTGGACAACAGACAGATAGACAAAAGAAATGGCAACACTTGATGCATGGACAACAGACAGATAGACAAAAGAAATGGCAACACTTGATGCCTGACAAACAGACAGATAGACAAAAGAAAAGGCAACACTAGATGCCTGACAAACAGACAGATAGACAAAAGAAATGGCAACACTTGATGCCTGACAAACAGACAGATAGACAAAAGAAATGGCAACACTTGATGCCTGACAAACAGACAGATAGACAAAAGAAAAGGCAACACTTGATGCCTGACAAACAGACAGATAGACAAAAGAAAAGGCAACACTTGATGCCTGACAAACAGACAGATAGACAAAAGAAATGGCAACACTTGATGCCTGACAAACAGACAGATAGACAAAAGAAATGGCAACACTTGATGCCTGGACAACAGACAGATGCACAAAAGAAATGGCAACACTTGATGCCTGGACAACAGACAGATAGACAAAAGAAATGGCAACACTTGATGCCTGACAAACAGACAGACAAAAGAAATGGCAACACTTGATGCCTGACAAACAGACAGATAGACAGAAGAAAAGGCAATATTTTATGTCCAAACTGCTAGTGTGACAGGCAACCTGAATTAACAAATATATGACTAATTTATACAATTTTCAGATAAAAAAATAAAACTACTAGCCTAAGTATGACAGGAGAAGGTATAACTAAATGTGACAGAGTCTAAATGATACACCACATGAAAAATGTATGTTACACTCATCCTTAGAGCATGTTTACAGTAGAAATACACAGCTGTAATCACTTATCTATCTGACTGTATACAGGAGGGGTGTTAACTACTAGGGACAACAACTAATTGACCACCCAAAAAAAACTACAACCAATTCACTGATGACAAATGTAGACAGCAACCACTGTTTATCACAACAAAACACTACAGCCAAATTACTGATCAGCTGGGAAAATAACCACTGGCAATAAGTACTTCATACGAGGTCAATGTACAGCAATGTCACCGTGATATTAAAAAGGTAAAGTTTACAACAGTGTCACCGTGACATTACAAAGGTAAAGTGTACAACAGTGTTACCGTGACATTACAAAGGTAAAGTGTACAGCAGTGTCACCGTGACATTACAAAGGTAAAGTGTACAACAGTGTCACCGTGACATTACAAAGGTAAAGTGTACAACAGTGTCACCGTGACATTACAAAGGTAAAGTGTACAACAGTGTCACAGTGACATCACAAAGGTAAAGTGTACAACAGTGTCACTGTGACATTACAAAGGTAAAGTGTACAGCAGTGTCACCGTGACATTACAAAGGTAAAGTGTACAACAGTGCCACAATGAGTTGTCACAACAATACCATGTGTCACAGTGACATCACGAAGGTAAAGTGTACAACAGTGTCACAATGCGTTGTCACAATAACACCATGTGTCACAGTGACATCACAAAGGTAACGTGTACAATAGTGTCACAATGAGTTGTCACAATAACACCATGTGTCACTGTGACATCACAAAGGTAAAGTTGTCACAATAACACCATGTGTCACAGTGACATCACAAAGGTAAAGTGTACAACAGTGCCACAATGCACTGTCACAATAACACCATGTGTCACAGTGACATCACAAAGGTAACGTGTACAAAAGTGTCACAATGTCACAGTAATACCAAGTACTAAAGTGTCACAGTGACATCACAAAGGAATTTCAGTGTGGCAGGCAGAGCCTTGGGGATGATGTCCTGGAAGGCCTATCACTGTTGCAACCCTATAAATGGTCAGTAGAGTCCATGACAATTATCTGACTGACAGGTGAGTTACAGAGTGCTATATAGCAAGTACCGTTGGGATTTCACTGCAATGCGAAAGTTCTCAGCCCGTTGAGTACCAAGACTTCTGACAGTTGATCAGAAGCACACGAGGCAGACTTTGTCACATGATAAGCTGAACCTTTTAGAGGCAAATCCTGCAAACTTTCTGCAGAGGTTTGTGACTATGGATGAAATGTGGGCCAAACAACACTCTTAACAATGGAAGCACCCTGTTACACCCCTGCTAAAGAAGAAAAAGACTGTTCCATCAACTCAAAAGTTTATGGCCTAAGCTCAGTTTTCTGGAATGCTAATGATATTCTGATGGTAAATTATCTGCAAAAGGGACAAGCAATCAATAGCACACATCATGCACCACTTCATAGGCAGTTCAGACAAAATATTAAAGTCAAGACCCAGCAAGGGTGTGTTGTTCCACCAGGACATGACAGACTTTCATCTAATTCCAAAAGGTCGTTTCCAGTATCCTCTTTCAGTCAGATGATGATGTTATAAATGCAGTGGAGGACTTTCTGAACGGTCAAGAAAATTACTTCTTTAAAAGTGGCATTGAGGCCTTTAAACATTGCGGCACAAGTGTAAAACCCTTAAATACAAGGCTAATATGTTTAGCAAATTGAGTTTGAATCATTCAAAATATTCATAATTAACTATCCGCAGATATAAACTATGTGATAAGTACCTCAATTTTCTATAAAATTTCTTCATGGCCTAATTATCTGATTCTCAAAGGATAACAACAGGAAAATATGGTCGTATGATAAATTTCTCTTATGGGTCAACAATTTCAATATGTGATGCCATCCCACACTTTGGATTTTCATCAGGTTACTAAACAAAATTTAATAAAATTATGCTAAAAATATCATACTTAAAAATACATATGTGTATAAACAGATACAAAGTTTCCCCACTCCCCTAAGTAAACAGGTATACTCAAGGACTTTAAGTGTTGAAATTCACAATTTAGGTCAAGCACCACAAGCATTCAGTAAAGCACCACAAGCATTCAGTAAAGCACCACAAGCATTCAGTAAAGCACCACAAGCATTCAGTAAAGCACCATAAGCATTTAGTAAAGCACCACAAGACATTTCCATTTTGTAAAAACACCACAAGACATTTCCATTTTGTAAAAAAACCACAAGACATTTCCATTTTGTAAAAACACCACAAGACATTTCCATTTTGTAAAGTATCAAGAGATATTTCCATTCTGTAAAAACACCACAAGACATTTCCATTTTGTAAAAACACCACAAGACATGTCCATTTTGTAAAAACACCACAAGACATTTCCATTTTGTAAAAACACCACAAGACATTTCCATTTTGTAAAAACACCACAAGACATTTCCATTTTGTAAAGTATCAAGAAATATTTCCATTCGGTAAAAACACCACAAGACATTTCCATTTTGTAAAAACACCACAAGACATGTCCATTTTGTAAAAACACCACAAGACATTTCCATTTTGTAAAAACACCACAAGACATTTCCATTTTGTAAAAACACCACAAGACATTTCCATTTTGTAAAGTATCAAGAAATATTTCCATTCTGTAAAAACACCACAAGACATTTCCATTTTGTAAAAACACCACAAGACATTTCCATTTTGTAAAGTATCAAGAAATATTTCCATTCTGTAAAAACACCACAAGACATTTCCATTTTGTAAAAACACTGAAAGACAATTCCATTTTGTAAAAACACTACATGACATTTCCATTTTGTAAAGTACCATGAAATATTTCCATTCTGTAAAAACACTACAAGACAATTCCATTTTGTTAAAACACTACAAGACATTTCCATTTTGTAAAAACACTGAAAGACATTTCCATTTTGTAAAAACAGTACTACGAAATATTTCCATTCCGTAAAAAAGATATTTCCATCTAAGAAGAACACTGATTCTGACATATCTGAGTCATAGAAAGCAGATTTGATTTATTTTATCTATCTACATATTTTTTTTGTCAAATCTTATTACATTCATATACATGTATATTTTTACAGCTGAAGTTGGAATTTTGAAAGTTTGGCATACAATTACATGTATCAATGTTTTGGAGAGGAACACGTCTGTACACTGTAAATATAAGAATGTAGAGTGGTAATTGTATACTGTAACACTGATGGACAATATCACTGCTATTTAATCACTGTCAGGAAACCCCATCTTGTTGCTCTGATATAAAACTCTTTATTCTGTATAAACAGCTTAACAATGTCTCTAGAACATTAAGCATGATTTTGTGAATTGTACTATAACCGTATGTACATGCTGGCAAATCTTGTAAGTTTCAATACATCTTTAAACAAGTTTTCTTCTCCCTTGACCAGAACAGCCTCAGTCAAGAACAATGTAACATACATTTCATTGTATTGTAAAGTATGTTAAGAAATAAATGAAACTGATTGAAATCACATAAAGAGTCACAATTTTTTTCATTTTCAAATCTTAAATAGGGCATTATATTCTATATCAGGAATGCACACGAATAAAGAAAACACTTTTTGACTTCTTGATGGTTTAAAATGTGACCTCTTAATTAACACAGGTAGAATGATACAGGTAATACAATAATTAACACAGGTAGAATGATACAGGTAATACAATAATTAACACAGGTAGAATGATACAGGTAATACAATAATTAACACAGGTAGAATTATACAGGTAATACAATAATTAACACAGGTAGAATTATACAGGTAATACAATAATTAACACAGGTAGAATGATACAGGTAATACAATAATTAACACAGGTAGAATGATACAGGTAATACAATAATTAACACAGGTAGAATTATACAGGTAATACAATAATTAACACAGGTAGAATGATACAGGTAATACAATAATTAACACAGGTAGAATGATACAGGTAATACCATAATTAACACAGGTAGAATTATACAGGTAATACAATAATTAACACAGGTAGAATGATACAGGTAATACAATAATTAACACAGGTAGAATGATACAGGTAATACCATAATTAACACAGGTAGAATGACACAGGTAATACATTAATTAACACAGGTAGAATTATACAGGTAATATCATAATTAACACGGTAGAATGATACAGGTAATACAATAATTAACACAGGTAGAATGATACAGGTAATACATTAATTAACACAGGTAGAATTATACAGGTAATACATTAATTAACACAGGTAGAATGATACAGGTAATACCATAATTAACACAGATAGTATATTACAGGTATTACAATAATTAACACAGGTAGAATGATACAGGTAATACAATAATTAACACAGGTAGAATGATACAGGTAATACAATAATTAACACAGGTAGAATGATACAGGTATTACAATAATTAACACAGGTAGTATATTACAGGTATTACAATAATTAACACAGGTAGAATGATACAGGTAATACAATAATTAACACAGGCAGAATGATACAGGTATTACAATAATTAACACAGGTAGTATATTACAGGTATTACAATAATTAACACAGGTAGAATGACACGGGTAATACAATAATTAACACAGGTAGAATGACACAGGTAATACATTAAGTAACACAGGTAGAATGACACAGGTACTACAATAATTAACACAGGTAGAATGACACAGGTAATACAAGTAAAACATCTAATCAAATCTGAGATTTAGCAAGGATGGTCCCTGAACACCAGTAGTC